TGTATGTGTGTGTGTGTGTGTGTGTGTGTGTGTGTGAATTTTACTTGTTGTTGCTTGTTTCAGGGGTTTTTGTTGACTACTTGATATGGCCTTGTTTCAAATGTTTCTGCGATATATTTTTGAAACGTTTTGTACAAGATTTTAAAAAAGAAATTAATGATCTTAATAGGTTTCTGTCTTCTTATTCAAAATTCGTAAAAACTGTGATTTGTTTTTCATACCTGTGTTGCAATTTTCTAAAGTCAAATTCTTTTCTTTAGTTAATCGATATTTGTTTCAAGTTTAATTTTACAGCACACCAATCAATGTTTCCAAATAATACTCACTGTTCAAAAAATCTTAAAAACTGTTTGGATTTTCCTTTTCCTTTCTTATTTTTATTTTGTTTTACACTGTTTTGGGATTTTCTGGTTTCCTTCCTTCCTTCATTCATTCCTACCTTCCTTCATTCTTTCCTTTCTTTCTTTCTTTCTTTCTTTCTTTCTTTCTTTCTTTCTTTCTTTCTTTGGCTTAATGTTTCTCAGATCAATGCAAAACAGAATAGCCTTGCATTTTGCCACAGTTTACAATCTATTTAGAGAATGATAATGTTGAAGGAGTATAACTGACACCGAGGCCACCAGAGACACGCAGGCGCCATAGGAGGCAGTTACTCAGAGCGCCTGTTTTAAAGTCTTCGTTTTGACCCGGCCGGGGATCGAATCGCTGACTTCCCAGTCCTCGGGCGGACGCCTTAGTCACTGAGCCAAAGGGACTTGTTCTTGCACTTATTATCCGGTTAAATGTCACAGACATAACACAGCCGTAAGAAGGATTCTTGCACCTACGGACCGAAAGGCGAAGTTGTGACCTGCCAACACTGCCATGATCTGATGAAACACATTTTTTAAAATCTGCGTATCGACCATCCGTATTATTATGTGTCAAGGCTCCTGAGATTTTTTGTTTTTAACGTGATGCTCGTCAGTCCTCGGACCACCTCAGACCTGTCATTTGGACTTTAGCATGAATTTCCACACAATGAAAAACTCGCTGGCGTCCGCTACCCTTAAGGTCATTTGGCTGATACCTGGTGACGCTAGATATTTTGTCGGAGACTACCATGCAGCCAACGAGTGGATACCGTAAAGGGTGTACTTCTTGAGGACAGTTAGCTGGCGGTTTAGGGGGGCAAATTTACATTAGTTTAAAAAGGACCGTATAACTCGGACGACTGACGGATGGTGAAAACTGACTAAAATATAGGCGTTTCTCTTGATGTTTTCAGCAAAACCTGAGGGATAGCGGGGCTGGTGATATGCCGGAGTCGGTAGTCGGAAGTTCGACTGTATTTGTTTTCTCTTTCTTGTTTTCTTATCTATTTTCTTTCTGTTTAAAAAAAAGCTACAAACGAGGTGCTAGCTTTTGAAAAAAGCAGTTTGAGAATTTTAAGTGTTTAAATCCAGTGAAAGTCAAAACTAAAAGACTTTGACCAGATTCATGCCTCACATTTTCAGCACTGGAAAAGAATATAATATACATGCACATTAATGTTTATTCTGAATCTTAATACCTTCTCCTCGAAACAACTCTATTTCAGCTTTGTGAGACCACGGCAAATGGTACTTATAAAGTGAAAGTGGACGACGACGATTTTGAGATGAATGGCATCATCCCGGCGACCAGAGACGAATATCAGAGCTCAATGTCTAAAGACAACGCGGGGTACGACAGTTCCATGGATTTCCAAGAAGATTCCTCCACAAATACCAAATTGTGAGGCTACTTTAAAGCATGTGTTTTGATGTGAAAACACAAGCTAATGATGATCAATCGGAAGACGACCTCAACGGCAAAGATGATGATGATGATGATGATGATGATGATGATGATGATGATGATGATGATGAGGATGATGATGATGATGGTGATGATGGTGATGATGATGATGGTGATAATAATGATTAAACAATATTGAGTTATGACAAAAGCTCGTAAGGCATGGAAAAATAGAAATGTGTTCCACGGTATAAATCTCAAACTTTTACTTTGTCTTGGTGTTCACAAAGAGCCATTCTTGTCTGAAGTTGGTCTGTAATAATGAATCTCAATCCACTATGGGCTTCCAGTCTTCAAAATTATGTTCTTGAGCAGTTCATTTGTTCTGAATTATAACAAAGTTGCTCGCATTTTAGTATTACGCTGACCTTTGGTAAACAGAGTTTAGGGCAATGTCACATTGTGATATTGGAGACTACATGAGTAAAAACTGAAGTCTTTGCTTGAGGATTTGAAAAGTCTCAGTTTTAAGATTTATGATTTAAGTTTCAAAGAGGATGAACATTTTGTCAGCTTCTTTTGAAGGGAACACTGTTGATTCTATTCCCTTTAAAATGTTGTGTTAGGTTAAATTGGAGGGTCGTGAAACCCTTAAAGGGTATAACACTAAATAACGTGAAGAAAATAAATGGCTATTGCCTTCCCCCTTCAGTCAATAATGTTCTTGAACTAGACACAATAGAGAACGTGGTATATGCAAGGTATAGGAATATTTAGCTGTCCGATAAATAACACCGCGCTCTTTTAAGCAAAGCAGTGCACTCTATCTATTATGAAATCCGTCAGCGAAAAAAAAACCCCTACACATTCCACGAATGGTAGATAAATATTGTATTTTAATGCCATCAATACCACCCGTTTTATTTCATGTACAGGGATGTATTAGAGTTTCGTTTCTACCTATTTGCTTATTGAAGTATCAATTGTTTTCTTTACAATGCCTTTTAAAAATTGTTTTTGAGATGTGTATTCGTAGTCAAAAAGATATCTAAGTTATCATAATTATTGTCGTATCTTATAAAGCTATCAAACTGACTATTATGGTTATATAGTTTCTGTAAGGTAGCTGAAGTTTCTGCATAAGTTCGAGTAACTTTATAACCATTTTTATTTTGTCTTAAATGCTTTTGAAATGTACTGGATTTGATATTAATAAAACTAGAGTCAAGGGACGTTTGACATCACCAATGAAGTAATTTTACTTTCTAAATCTAAATTGTATGCCAAATTGTTCATCATAACAAATACTGTAACCTTTTGCATGAAATTTCATTTTTTTAGATGTGTGTCATGCTAAATGCTTTATGCCACTTGAAGCTTGAAATATTGGAAACTTGGTATTAGCGTTATGCTTTTGAATGGTACAAAGGGAAAACATGACATGTCACTTTTTTCGCTATTTTGAAGTGTGGCGTGTGTTGGAAAGTGTTCACCAACCTCTTCTGCCACATCCATTTGTCCATACCTAACAGCTAATTAGTCACACTATGCTATAGAAAAACGTGAGTCGTCAAGCATTTAATGTTCTCTTCTTGCACCCTTCACTTCATATTGTTGAATAATTAAACTGCCAAAGTTTCTTCACACAAAGAAAAAAGTTCACCTAATGGGGGCTCATCTCTGCAAAGACCTCGGGCAAAAATGGCTCCGCACACGCGTCTAGAGAAATACTGTTTATGGAATAGGATCAAGAGGCCAAAATATTCTACTTGCATATACATATAATTATGATGTTCAGTACTGCACGCATGTTGTCATACAATAAACCTTATTGCTTTTCTACAACGAAGCCTTAGCATTATTTCCTTACTAGAACAGCATTTTAGAAGTACGGATTCTCTTTTTGTATTGTCACAGAAGCAACATGATTACTTTCATTTGGGGTCCAAATGCATGTTGTTGTGTCAAATTGTTACCATATTTTAAGAGGAAATGCATTAAGGGGGGGGGGGCACACCCCCCAAAATCAAAATTCGGCTCAAAATCATGGAATTTGAGTTGTACGCATTTTTAGCTCCCAAAGCCTCTCCTACAACTATTTCAGGGAATAAGAACGCTCAAAAATCGTATTTTTTCCCATACCGGGCATGTTTGTAACCGCCATTTCCTCATAAAATCAGTATTTTATTTTTCTTTATCGGCCGTTTTCTCAAAATGCTACTTTTGTCTATACTTTTTTGAATAACTCCACCATTTTTCATCCAATCTTCATGAAATTTTCACAGAATGAAGAGAAGAGGTAATACAAAAAATTGTTTGTTGAATTTTTGATATATGGAATAGATTTTTGTTGGTGGTGTCTGGAGTGTGGATTTTCACGGATTTTTCGCAAACTTGAATGCTACCTCAGGAAAAAACTCATTAAAAATGTTCTAATTCGATTAAGAAAAAAAACAACAGACATATTTTTAGATCTAATGTTTGTGAACACGCATGCAAAAAAACTAATCAATTTCCATGAGTGATAAGTGCGGTATTCATTACGTAAGACATGTCAATAAAATCCAATATGGCGGCGTATCCATGGAAACGAATTTTTTTTCTCAAATTTGATTGCGGATTTCAAGACTCCGTACTATGCTTGTTATATTGAAATGTGTTAAAATTCGGTCCAGTAATAAGCGAGATAGCCTTCAGGTGTAACACCCCCCCCCTTAATGGGTTAATGAGGGAGAAGTTAGGGCGATGTAATGTGAATAATGAAGATGTATTGCTTGGCAGTGACACCAACACTGAGGATGAGGATGTGACCAAGGAGAAGAAAGAAAGAGGGGGAAGGTTGAAAAAAACACCAACAGGAGAGCCAAGTATTAATATAACACATGATAGCTAGCCTTTGTGGCCAAAAAGAACTCTGGCTTTATCTGTTCGTCTGCACTCTGATTAAGATGGAGCAAAATGTTTAGGACAAAAGTAGCACTGTTGTCGTCCTTCATTGGATATTTCCCAACATTTCAGTGTCATAAATGGGTATGTAAGGGGACTTTCAGTTTCTGAAATGGCTTACAGTTTGGTCTTGGGTAGCGTTCAATTTCAATGCCACCGTCGCCAAACACACAAACAAAAACAATAACAACAACAGCAAAACGTCGGTCGCCTGATAAAACCGTAAATTCCACAAAAGTTCCTAAATCCTTTTCTTGCCTATTTGGATAGTGCTCAGTGAGATACATGTCACTGTAAAACTATGTTCCAATATCTCAACTCAAACGTGTAATCTGACGTAATAAGAAAGCCGTGAATAAACACCCTGCCCTAAAAGTCTCCTGATGAAACCGTGAATCAGCACACCTGTATGGGATTCACGATCTCATCAGTCGGTTTATGACTCTCGGGGCTGACCGTTGGCGCCGTGAACACCTCTTTAGACCATTGAAATAAGGGTGACTGCTTTTAGCAAACACAATGATCGGTCAGTATTCACAGTTTCCAAGCCAAAGATTATACTTTATGATGTAGACTGCATGCGTTTTGCCGGAAAACCTCTCTGCCACATGATTAAATTGTGTGTTTTCTAGATGCAGAACTGATATTGTTTCACAACGACTGTCAAATTCGAATGTGTAATGTGTGTGACCTGCTAGTAGTGGGTTATACAATTTTGATCTTGTTCGTTTGCAAAACAAATAAAAAATAATAACGTAGTCAAGTATAAATTACAAGTATATTTCCGTGTTGTTTACAACCAAAACATGTTTGACACTGATTTGACACCAAAGTTCCCTAACGAGAAAAGCAATTTTGCGAAGCCGAGCAATGTGAACCATTCTGGACATCAAAGAAAGCTGCTGAACGCCCAGCACGGAAATAGTAGAAGTAGAAAAATCAGGCTTCAATGAAAAAAGTGTCATTCAAAGTACACGATGCGTTGGAACAGATCAAATGTGCTTTTTTAACCTTCGAGAGAGAGACAGCGGAGAGAGAGAGAGAGAGAGAGAGAGAGAGAGAGAGAGAGAGAGAGAGAGAGAGAGAGAGAGAGAGAGAGAGAGAGAGAGGGAGGGGGGGCAGCAATAAGCAAAACAAATCAAGAGATGGAACAATTTTTTAAAAACAACGTACTGAAACCCAGATGTGATAGCTCAACCAAATCAAATGACTACTCACTATTAAAAGACAAAGCAATTACAACTATTTTTGTCTTTCTTTGGACTTTGACATGGGGGGACAGGAAGACCTATGTTTATGGTCTTCTCAACACGAAAGAGTATACTTTATTAAGCAAATGCGATACACCAAGCTGAAAGACGCACACTTGTGTTTATTATCTGAAACAGAATGACAAGAAGATCAAAGTTAGCAGGATGTTGATATCTATGAACGGGCTCATCCATTGTAAATTGCTCTAGAAGAGTCGATGCCAGTTTCATCATCGCCTGGCTCACGCCGTACAGACAAACACTTTCCACTATTCGCTGCCCTGGGCTAACTTCTTGATATTTTTCACGTCTTTCCACTTTTCTGTTCACAATTCTCTGCGACTTTTCTACAGGTTCCACACGGCCTTCCCTTGATCGTTACACCTGTTGACTCTAAATTAAATTTTTGTTTGTTATGTAGCTGCCTGATTTCCAAATGATATGCTCAGTCCAATCCTTCTCCACTGCTTTCTTCTGTCTGAAAATGTTCTGCTCATTACTTCCTCATTGGTGACTCTGTCAGTCCATCTGATCCGGTGGAACTTCCTCGGGCATGTGTTAATGACAACCTGGATCCTCCAGAACTGTGTAATAATCGTCAATGCGACCTCGTATGATGCAATCTATTACTTATGACACAAGGCACACTGTGGTTTGATTGCAAATGAAATCACAATTTGTTTGATGGACTCTTTTTCAACGTGCACAAATACATAAAAGGTTATAACAATATATTATTATACAGCTACGGGGGTGTGTGTGTGTGTGTGTGTGTGTGTGTGTGTGTGTGTGTGTGTGTGTGTTTGTGTGTATGTGTGTGTGTATGTGCGTGTGTATGTGTGTGAGTGTGTATTAGCACAAAATTGCATCTATTTCTAATGCTGCGAGTGCCTTTTCCACTAGAGCAAACACCGAAATTGAATACAAATTTTTTTTAGAGGCCACACTCATAATAATATGCAAGTAGAAAGTATGCACGACGTCATTGAGCTGCGGCTTTAAATGAAACACACAAATATACAGCCCACTAGATTATGTTGCCATCTTCAGAACTGCAATTTTTATAATGATATCAACGAAGATCGTGTAAAGTGAAATTTGTGGATCCCATTTTCCTCCATGATTTTGCTAAAATTAGAGTCCACAAAAACTGACAGGTCGGGTAGACAAAAAGAAAACCAAACTGTTAATGCAGTATGAAGCTTCTAATATATATAAGGGGAAATTCTTTTCAAAATGAACTCTAACGAAAAGTGGGAGAGTCTTCTAAAGTCCAGAGACAATGAAAACTTAACAAACAGGTCCCCACCATTGTATCATTCTCGTTACAAATCGCTATGATTAATTTTCAGGATCTGAGAGAAAAAAGAGTTAGAGGGTGATTCACTCATTCACGGGGTAAATAAGTTTTATACAAATCAAGTTCTCAACCTATCCACCACCCACCCCCTCCCACCCCAAACCCAATAAAAACGGATATACACTTACACACAATTCGAGAAAGAAGGATGGAAAGAGAGAAGGCACACAAATGAATTATTATGATTTCATAAATTACATAGAATGTCCCATTCGTTTAATAGTGAGAGATGTTTGTAGTGGAACATATTAATGAATAGCTTTCTTTTTCACTCCGTCTGTAATTTCATACTCAGTTTTAAATGTGTCTTTTAAAAATTGTCTTATAACAGTATTTCGTGCTTTCGTTTATTTTTAAACATACCAGGGCCACAAATAAGAGAAAACACACTGCATCATAACCGTGCATACAACACCGCGTTCCATAAAGCCTACAGATGAAATCGTGAGAATTCACGACCGCATCAGGCGAGATTCGAATACGAAAATCGCGAATCCCACACTTTTTCGAAAAAATGACCATCTACGGTAAAAAAAAAAGTATTACAGTATTATTCTTTTAAGGTAATTGATTAGATTTATCCATTTAGTTTGTGTCTTGAACGCCAAATGACGTAGGAAATCAGTTTTTTTCCCTCTCCGGTAAAATTTGCTTCGTGCGGAATTCACAATTTCATCAGACGACAGACGAAAAACAATAGCTACAAAAACAGCAGCAGCAGCAACATCAACAACAAAACAACAACAACAACAGCAACGACAACAAAAGCCACTACAACAGCTACAGTAAAAACAGCAACGACATCAATAAGAGAACACATCAGAGGCAAATAATGAGAGGATGTCAGTTTTAAAAATGCATTGATTGTGTCTTTGATGTATTGTAGCTACGTTGTCTATACGTTTGGTTTCTGTTTAACGATGATGATGATGATGATGATGATGATGATGATGATGATGATGATGATGATGATGATGATGATGATGATGATGGTGATGATAATGATCAACAATAGCATCGTTTCGCCCTTGTGAGACAACTCGATACATTATGCTGTCGAAATGGTATCATTTGCCTGACAAGGGAATAATATTGGCCTTCAAAACAGTACCAGCAACGTCTTAAACAGACACAGTAGGATCTTTTCAATTTTTTAAGGAATGGCGTTTGAAAATTTAAAATAAAAAGCAGACTTTTTTTTACATGTGCACATTAACTGACAAAGTAGCACATACGCCCACCTATCGATTAAAAAAGCAGCAGTTGACTACCCCTGAGATATATCAAGGGTCACAGAGAAGAAGAAAAAGCTGACAAATGCGGATGAATTGTCAAAGATATAGGTGTGCTTAATCATCCTGTAAACCCTAAATGTATAACCTTTAAAAGAAACAATAAAATGGCAAAAACATTACAGAAAAAGTATTATTATTACGTGCGGATAGGTCCATAATATGACATATAACACACACACACACACACACACACACACACATACACACACACACACACGCACAAACACACACACACACACACACACACACACACACACACACACACACACACACATAAAGAGTAGGTGTCTGTGTATGGGTAGGTGGATGGGTTGGTGGATGTGAAGTACGTATGTCAATAATCTTTGCCCACGATCAGGAGCAAATTCTCATTGATTAAAAAAGAAAAGTTTTCGCTTCGTCTGCTAAAACGTGTAGTAGAAAACGACACACTCCGCTTTATAGTTATTCTTTAACAATATCGATAAGTACGAAATCCCATTGTAATCAGTTCTCTGTGAACAAGAGTTGCACGTACTTGGGAACTCTCATCAATACACGTGGCATTTTGACAAGTTTTATCTGTGATGAAATTGGTGATTAAAACAATCAGGTTTTAGATTCTCGTGTCACTTCGAGCAGTCTCCACAGAATTGAGAGGGATAAAAAGAAACTCAGTTTTATGATGCAGATTGGCCTCAGTCTTGCGGTTGTTTAAATGTAACTCTATGCTGCTAGATATTCTGCAGGTCTTTTCGAAAGCCATATATCGGTATAATACACATTATTTTAGGATCAATGAGAAGAATTAGAGGCAGCCTCCTTGAGTCCGAGCCTAGAACTAGAAGAACAACTCTCCCATCAAAGCATCCCAATGGAGACAAAGAACCAACTCATCAGATCCATCTTCATACCAACTCTCTGCTATCATTACCAAATCTTGACCCACAACAAAGTGCAGAAAAATAAAAAAAACAGTATACAAAATCAAATGTCTTAGAAAAATATTAAACAGCACCAGATGAGAAAGACAAGAACAACGAAGACACCACACACTATGTAAGCGTCAAATCAAGCATGAAATACAAAGAGAGACGACACAATGAGAATGGGGCTCTGACAAACAACATCTGAGACCTGAAACAGTAAATTCTACGGCTTTAAAGCAAAAGAAGGTAAAAAAAAAAGATGGAACGACACAGTCAAAGAGAACAAAAGAGCCCCACTCCTGACCCATGTCCGACAATTGCACCCCACGGTATAAGTGGATAGAAAAAGTAAATAATGCAGTGCTTAAGAGTGACGGTTTAAGACTCATAATCCCTCCTTTAGCATTCCCCATCCATCTTCCTTTCCACTTCCGTGGTTTCCTTATCTAAAAACAAAACAAAAACACGGTAACCTTTATCCCAAATGTAAAATGTCACCCTGAAAGTTGTCTGTCTAACTTAACTGGGACTCAAAAAGTCCTCAATCGAGACGTCACCTTTTGAAGCCATTTGTTCGATCCGTTTCAGAATGTTGAAGCTCCTGCTTTTGGCGGCTTTTGCTGCTGTGTCTTTCGCCTTCCCTTCCGACCCACGTCATCACTGTTTCTCACCCCCTGAGCTCTCGGTAAGTTTGTATTTGGTGACCACAAACGAATAACGATCTAGATCTAGTTCAAGTCTTCAGCTTTCAAGTAACTTCAAGTTAAAAAAACAACCCCAGAGCACTTTGCAAACACTTTGTATTTTCAATTGCGCCCATTGTCATAAAGGGTTTCATGTTTGGGGCTGAGTTCCGATGTTTTGGTTGACAGTATTTAGAGTAATTTATGACAATAGTGCATAATCCATGGTTGAGGCAAAAGTTTAATAGCATTTTCAGACATGTGTCTTCGATGGATCTGCTATTATGATCTTATTTTATTCCATGGCCCCGTTTGTATACACCACCCTCTAAACGTTTATCTTCGTCCAGCTGGAATGGCGTATTTCACTCAACTCACATTGGCCCTGAAAGAAGGGTTGAAGCAGCCCGCCACATACGTTAAATAATCTGAATAGACAGGGGAATGAAAAAGGAGGATCCATCTTCCAATTGATAACTAGAAAATGTTTTTTCGAAAGAGAACAGGTTGTTTTATTTTTTGGGTACACTCCCTTTTAACCATAGATAATGCTTGCACTGGCAAAAAAGGGAAAATAGGTTGAGGGTGATTATAGGGAAACTGAAGACCTAGTAGTTGTCTGGGTATTTATTTTTGTTCTGTGTTTGTTTTTTTAGCTTGCCTTTGTGACATTTCTATTGAACTCTAGGCTTGTACACACACGCACATACACACACACACACACACACACACACACACACACACACACACACACACACACACACTCACACACACACTCACGCGCACATAATACACACTCAATCAAACAAACACACACACACACACACACACACTTCTTTGTCTGCATAACCACTGCCTCCTTTGATATGGTGTTGTGTATTTGTTTCAGTTCAGGGCACACCAGTATAACAGTCAGCTCACCACATTCCGTAGATTTGATGCGGTCTATGATGTCAGGAACCAAAGAGAGGCTGCCTTGGAGGTGGTGGAGAAGTCGGCCGTGCCTGGCAAACAGTGAGTGTTGATCATGGCACTCGTCATTTCAGTAAATTTGCTTTACTGCGGACTTTTTCTTTGTTCAAGGGCTGGGACGTGACATGTTTAATTCGTTTAGCTCTGTTGGGCAACAAAAGAAACTCATTGTTCATATTATTATTATTTTTGTACCCATGCAAGAGTTCAGGGCTTAACTGACAATAAGTTCCTCATCTCACAGCGCTGTAATTGGATTTTTGTAGTCTTGTTTTAAGTTTACAACTGTTTCATCTTGATCTACTTAGCACTTAGAATTATCACTTACCTGACTGTAATACATACCTTTTATTTTGGGTAAACCATAATTTTGAATTTAGCTTGAGAGCCTGCTCTTTTAGATTTAAGAACCAACAAGGGATCTTTAACCTGCGAAACTTCCACACACACCCTTGTGTTTTATCAACAAATAATTGAATTAATATGTTCTTTTCAGAGTACCAATCTTGCTTTAGTGATGAAAAAGTTTGACTAAAGTGAGACCAGATTTTGACTTATATTCTCTGCAGTATAAGAAGCTGGGGTGTAATTTCTCACGTTGCTTACCGGTAGTAACGTGCATCAGATTGTCACTAAGACCATAATAATATCCTTTTTCCATATCTCAGTAACTCCAAGAACCCCACTCCACAGGTCTGCTCTCTCTCTCTCTCTCTCTCTCTCTCTCTCTCTCTCTCTCTCTCTCTCTCTCTCTCTCTCTCTCTCTCTCTCTCTCTCTCTATCTCTCTCCCTCTTTCTCTCTCCATCTATATATCTATATCTATCCATCTATCTATCTATCTATCTATCTATCTATCTATCTATCTATCTATCTATCTATCTATCTATCTATCTATCTATCTATCTATCTCCCTTCCTCTCTCTTTTTATATATTATGTAGAAATATGATTAATATATATACATGTATATAAAAATATATTACATGTGTGTGTCACAATCTCTTTATCTCTCTTTCTCTCTCTCTCTCTCTCTCTCTCTCTCTCTCTCTCTCTCTCTCTCTCTCTCTCTCTCTCTCTCTCTCTCTCTCTCTCCCTCCTTCACCCCCTCTCTCTCTTTCTTTCTCGTTCTCTCTCTCTCTCTCTCTCTCTCTCTCTCTCTCTCTCTCTCTCTCTCTCTCTCTCTCTCTCTCTCTCTCTCTCTCTCTCTCTCTTACACACCTGACACCCTCTTTGCCCGTCCTCAGACACTACTGGATCATCCTTCTCCACGAAGAACACACTGCACCAAGTACAAATTGGGCAAGTTCCACCCGTTCGGGGTGCCCCAAGACGCCATGTTTGAGGCAGAGTTCTACCTCGGAGGCCCAGGAGAATCCATAGACGCTGCTGAATGGTCCGACAGGACAACCCATAAAAGTGAGTATACAGTAAATAGTGTGTGATGAAAGAGAGTCGCATACCTTGAATGCTTTTAGTTAGAGCGTGGTTTGTGATATAGAATCTTAAGCCGACCCCTCAACATTTCAAAAATCGTTTCCTATTTTTATCGTTGAAAACAGATGCTAATGTTATGGGATAGTAGTAAAAGTAAAATCCGAGTATAAATCGATCTTTAAAAATTATTTCACATTTATCCTTCTTGGTCACTTAATTATATTCATAAGAAAAGCTTTTCCCAAAATGGGATCTTATCTAATGACAAAATGCTTGAACACAATTGTAAATGTATATTCTTTTTCTATTCTCCGGGGTTTTTTTTCTAATGGCTTAAGCTTAAATATCTCATCTACTTTATAAGAACGAGGAAAGCCTAAAAATCATAATTTGAAGTTGACCGGCGCTCGGGGTATTCTAACATACCGGTATTATTACAGTAAATGCAAAGGGAACTTTGTAGTCTGTTTTCCTTTATGTTTTTGTTGGGGGTGGGGGGGGCCTCTATCTTGGGGGGGGGGGCGGGGGGGCGGGGGGGGGCTCTAACTTGTGTGGGTCAGGGGCGAGAGTGGGTGATCATATCTACATATGTGTGGCATCATGGTGAAATCAGGCGATCGTGAAAAAAAGAAATCGAAGAATACTGTTTTTACCACTGGTTTGACAGTTTTTATCTAATTTTGTCATTTGGCGTAACACTTTTCATGTCCATTTATGAAGACATTTCTGGGTTGGTTTTACTAAAACAAACTTTGATAAAAGACATTTTTAAAATATGTACATTTGCAGTTTCCAAAGACGCTCGAGCTTTGGAAGTAACCAAACTTTGGCGGCAGTTTTCGAGCTAATTTTACCTCTGACACCAGACGACCCCAATCCTTTACGTTGCAAATATCTTGATTTCTTATAGAGATACGTTGGTATTTCTTTCACATACAACAAAACAAAAGAACAAGCTTTAGGACAATGCCAATAACTCTATATGTCTTAAAATTGACGAGCGCCTGTTTCCACCACGCTGCTACACATATAAAGAATAAGATAAGATAAAATGAGATGAAATGAGATAAGATGAGATGAGATAAGATAAGATAAGATAAAAATAAGATAAAATAAACTGTGCGGGTTTTATCCACCGTGCCCATCCTTCTGCTGGGGTATAGATGTTATGATGTACAGCACACAGCCGGGATCGTTCCTTGCTGACTGATTAGAAGATGGCTACTCCTCCTTAAGTCCCTAGATCATGTCGATGGGAATATAGAACATTTGTGCTTGTAATATTATCAGGGTGTTAGTGGTATTGTCTTCTTCATTGACTGAGTTTTGTTTTTGAAAGAAAAAAAGAATAACAATAATAAATGCAATCTTGAATAGAAGTAGAGACATTGCGTTTGTAGGAGATGGAGTCGCCTAGTAGCACTGGCAAAATGAACAAAAAAACAGCCGCCAAACTTTAGTGATTTCCAAAGCTTGATTGTCCTTAGAAAGGGTAAATTTCACTTGTGAGACTGTAGCTAAAGTAATTTCACACACTATCAAAAACAAATCTTTTAAAATGAAGATAAGAGATTGTTAGTCACAAAACAAATCCATAAGAATTGCCCAACGGTCGAAGAAAATGTCAGTTTCTTGAATTTCATCATTTTGACTCGAGATTAGTCCCACCACCATGACATGCATTTAACTGTTTCTAATGAAGATCACAAGGAAAATCGATGAAAGTCACTTTTCCAGGTTAATAGTAAGTTTAATCAAAATCTCCTGTAAAAACAATAGACATAACAATAGATGGGGACAGAATCGCACAAGTGCACCAATTCAAGTAACAAGGGACAACAATCACAGAAGTGAAAAAGAAGTATACATAAGAACAGCAGCTGCAAAATCAAGATTCAGCAAGATGTACAAACTATTTAAACCAAGGCAAATATCTCCCACTTTAAGAAAGAGAAAATGCTAGAATGCTACATCTACCCCATATTCATGTATGGCGTAGAGACCTTTACTTTGACAAGGAAAGAAGAAAACAAAATACATGCGTTTAAAATGTTGCTCTACCGTAGAATGGCCAGAATAAGTTGGAAAACAAAAAGATAAAGAGGTGTGTTAGAGTCTACGCACAAGACAAACCCTGATGAACAAAATACAATCTAGAAAATTACAATACTAAGGCCACTTAAAAAAGACACGAGACCACTGTGAAAGAGGTGCTTGAGGGAAGGATGTGAGGCAGGAGAGCCAGAGGAAGACAGAGAATAGCATGGATGGACAACACTAGAACATGGACTTGGCCTGAATATGGCAGAATGTGCAACAGCAGCTTCCGACCATGAAAGATGGAGGGTCATTACATGCCAACTTTTGAGTCAGAGATGACACTTCCAGGTATCCAGTTAGTAAGTTAAATGTTAAGGTAAAGACACACAAAACTATGAACGGATTTTTCCAAATCTTTGTCTTTGGGTTTTTTCTTTGTTTGTTTGCGTGGTTGTTGTTGTTGTTTTGTTTGTTGTTTTATTTTTGCAATCGCTTTTTAAAAAGGACATAAGCCTCAGAACAGGGCATATTTTGTCAATAGAAAGTAAACTATGGAACCTATTCTACTTGTCTGTCTATGCTACTTCTCTGCCTGTCTACTAGGTTAGAAGCATCACAGACGGCGTATGTCCTCAGGATCCACCTCAAAGAAAACTGTGTGCCCAACGTTAACGCAATAAGCCAACATGTTCGTGTTTGTCAATTTGATCATTTAGCTTCTTATGTTGCCTTCAATTCAAAGTATTTTTTCTTCAGGAGAAGAATGGCTCGGCGTGTTCACAAAGGGAAACTGCTACCCCATCCACACCTTCCTGCGCAACAACCACAAGAACCACACCCTGACCACAGACTTCTATGACATGACGAAAGGTATCAACAGACCCGAGCTCTTCGAGCCACCTCCCGAATGTTTCAAGAGCCCAGAGACAGAAGAGGAGATGAGCGACATCAGCAGAGAATTTTACAGCATTTTCTTGCGGAAATAAAATAAGAACTGTTATGTAGGTCCTCCACACATGCTTGTGTATGTGTACATCGAGTTTAGTTAGTCCGTTCTGTGGCTATTTTATAAATACAAAACAATTTTTTTGTTCAAGCCTCTGATTGGTGAACCTTTTAAAAACAGTTCAAATTACCCCGACTGCATCTCGGAAATCCATTCTAAAGAGCGTCAACTACATCAGCTATTACTTTTTTTTTCTTTGGAATTCGCTGATCCCATTTATAAAATAACCAGTTTCTTTTTTAATTTATACAGAGTATTGTTTAGGTTTAGATGATAAACGCGACAAAGATATCCAACTGCCAACATTAAGGATAGGAGGGCGAAATAGTTTTCTCCTTTTTAATCGGTTGCTCTTAAGTTCACCTTTCCATCTGTGTCAATCCATCTACATGCTAGAACTTGACTTTCTTTCAGTCGTCAAACCTACTCTTTGGTTGGATCAGCTATCACTTGCTCGTTTCTTACAATCTTTCACCTCACCCATCTCATCTCCCCCGAACTTTTCTCTCTTCTACTTTTTTCTCAAAACTTTTCGAATGCTCCATTACCGGTAGTTCAGCTTGTATGCTATTTTACTGCGGTGCAAGAGACCAAAGTTTGAATGTTCGCAACAGTTTTTCCAAGCTTTGGATATTTGGAGAGTTTAAAGACTTTCGGAGGCGGGTGTTATCAGATATTAGCATACAAATTCGATTATTCAGTTTCTAAGATATATTTTAAGAGATGGAAAACTGAATCACAGTGTCGTACTCGTGTGTTTAGCAGTTTGGTTAATTAAATGTCTGCAGAAGGATTTTTGGGTGTTTTGTACAGCATTGGATGACAGAAGTAAATGTTTTAATTATAGCAAAACGTTTGTATGAGTTATGGTAAATGAGAAAAGGTAAGTACGGATCAAAATAAAACTTTTAAAGAAAGTTTTCAACGTCTATTCTTGTCTTTATTTAGAAACTGGGGACTGACTGAAAAATAGTTATTGTGTTTGCTCTTGTGGGTGAGTTTGATCCTTTTTCGGTACAGGAAGAAACTATTCTTTCCAAAAGACAATCAATGACACTCAAAGGGGAAACGTTTTTCTACACTATTAAGGTCAGCTGAGAGAGGGTACCTCTGCGCAACCATCAAGGGAAGAAGGACCGTGCAAAGTAGGTGGAGAACCATCAAACAATTTTCAAACATTCTGAGTTCGAGAATTACCTTATTATGGATTCTACCAGTGTGCCAATAGAGCACGTGTGTATGTTCTCTTGTGTACATGCACACGTGTGTTTGTGTGTACATGTGTGTTTGTGTGTGCAGGTGCACATTTGTGTCTGTGTGTATATGTGTTTGTAGGTACATGTGTGTTTGTGTGTGCAGGTGCACATTTGTGTCTGTGTGTATATGTGTTTGTGTGTACATGTGTGTTTGTGTGTGCAGGTGCACATCTGTGTCTGTGTGTATATGTGTTTGTAGGTACATGTGTGTTTGTGTGTGCAGGTGCACATTTGTGTCTGTGTGTATATGTGTTTGTAGGTACATGTGAACGGGTATAAGGCCGAGTCACCAACATGATTTTTTCCCCGTGCGTGAATGCGTCTCTCATTTCCATTATCTCTTCATTCACACTCTTTTTTACCTTTCGTCCCCTTCAAGCCAAAGTGAAAATTTTCCGCGACATTGGCCTAAAAAGCAACCAAAGCGGCTTAAAATTCGCGATAGCTTGACGGTGAACAATACCCCAAAAAATTATCTAAGTGGCTTGACTTTTTAGCCTATCCAAGTTTAAGTTATAAAAATGGTAAAATGAAGAGTAATCTAAACTGTTCATAATCTTTCTGTTGAGCAAACAGAGGTGTCAACAATTATTATTTGATCTATAAAACACTAGACAATAATACTGACACTAGAAGACGATAACATGAGCACACCATAAAGATAAAAACATCACATGTTGATGGCCATCAGAATTTTATCAGCTGCTCAGGTGGACTTCTTTATCTCGGTTTGCCACATTATTCCATGATGAAGACCGGATCTCCTTCTCACTGTCACCTCTCTCTCTCTCTCTCTCTCTCTCA